GCACTGAGCAAGGCATCAGCTATTTTTTCATCCCACTGATTTCAATTCGGTGAAAGCAGAATCGTGTATTCCTGCTGAATTACTCAGGGGTTCAGGTAGGATATCTCTTACGAGGTCGTGCGATGCATATATATATATATAATATATATATATATATATATATATATATATATATATATATATATATATATATATATATATATATATATATATATATATATATATATATATATATATATATATGCAAGTATGTTGGCAACCAGCTGGATCAGTTTACGAGAGAGGAGAGCAGCACCAGAATAATTTATGAGAGACTTTGTAAGCTTATTAATGATAGGATTCTGAGCATCTCTCTCTCTCTCTCTCTCTCTCTCTCTCAAATACTAGTGCCAAAGTCACGTGATTAAAACATAGCGATGAATCCGCGTCAGTTCAATTCAATTTGATGAATGTGTGATAAATGTCCTGGCCATTGATGCCCGGCTGGAACCCGGAAAATATACGAAAATATGCATTTGTTTGGGATTTTTTCTGTGGTTACTATTATTTGCTTTGTGTTTGAATGAAATTGATGTCTTTTTCACTGTGTTTGTGGGCTTTTGTTTTGTGTACAAATATGTTTTCGCCTGAAATCCAGAATATTGATTGGAGCTTGAACGCAAATACACAAAGATACATCAAATACATACAAATACAAACGTGTATATATATATATACATATATATATATATATATATATATATATATATATATATATATATGTTGTTGAATATGACCGAAAAAGTAAGATTAAAAATTCTAAAACGAATTTTTATACTTCATAATCTTATGAATAAGAAATATTGAAAAAAAATCGTGTTAGAATTATTAATCTTACTTTTTCGGTAATATTCAACAAAATATATATATATATATATATATATATATATATATATATATATATATATATATATATATATATATATATATATATATATATATATATATATATATATATATATATATATATATATATATATATATATATATATATATATATATATATATATATATATATATATATATATATATATATATATATATATTGAAATGATATGAGAGACTGACAGTACGGTTTTCGATCTGGAAGATCCTGCGTAACAAATCTAGTTAGTTTCTAATGCAACTGGTATTATGCATCAGTTGTATTATACAGCTGAAGCTATACTACATCTTGTATTAATGTGCAGCTGAAGAAGGAGAACGACAACAACGTACCGAAATATCAATGAGTTTTATTTCCTGGTTTTGACACGAGAATTGAGGGGGGGAGGGGGGGAGTGGGACCCCCACAATATATACATAATTTGCCCTATATATAATTACCAGCGCCAGGTTCCATCAAGCATTCATCTTACGAAACCTGTCCATCTTTTCCTCAATCATTGGGAGTTTCTTTACATTTATTAAACAGTTGATCCTCTCCGAAGTACTACGAAGTTATTTTTTACAATAATAACCTTAAATTGTGAAGTTTTTAAGCTCGTAAACGACTTAATTAATACATTCTAAGAAAGATGTATTAATTAGTGTTCTTAGTGTTTCACTAGAACACTAATTAACTTTCTTTGTGTTCTAAGAAAGATTTACAGGTTTCGTTAGTGATTGATGATTCTTGTCTGTGATAATGATACATTTGTTAGTATAGAAGTTGACTTTGTACATGAATATATGTCATTTTTGTTTTTGTGTCACGTGTATACACCCCATGTATGCATACTTCCCATGTATACAACACCTCACTAAAATAAGTCATGTTTCCACGTAAATATATGAATAAATTCTTCTGGGTACTTTGATGTTAAAAATGTGTATTTTTACTTAAATAAAGCTGCGGGTCATCCCCTCACACTTAAATAAAGCTGCTGGTCATCCCATCACACTTAAATAAAGCTGCTGGTCATCCCATCACACTTAAATAAAGCTGCGAGTCATCCCATCACACTTAAATAAAGCTGCTGGTCATCCCATCACACTTAAATAAAGCTGCTGGTCATCCCATCACACTTAAATAAAGTTACCACACTCCCCATCACTCTCGTGATCACACTTTCACTCTTATCAATTCACTTGTAATCACACTTTCACTCTTACCAACATACAGCTATCGCCGTTCCAACCCCCACATTTAAATAAAATTAACGTATATCCGAACACACTTTAATAATGTTATCACTTCGAACGCACTTTAATAATACTATCATTTCGAACGCTCTTTCATGCACGTTTAATGAGCCTAAACATCAACTTTCTCGCTGTATAACGAAACGAAAAAATAGTCTGCCTATTTTTATATATAAAAAAAGATCCATACTTTCCTAGCCGTGGACCACTCGATACCAGCGCAGGTACACCTCCCTTACCCTACACTGTTGTGGTGTTCCTACACTGTCTCATAGGCAGTGACCAAGTTAGTATAGCAGTAGGCATCCATCAGTCTCAGGAGACTATGGAGTTGCGCTCTGGTTGTCGGTCTGGAGTGGCCTCACCAGGGCACAGGGTAGGTTGATACTGGGGAGAAGCTGTTACCCATGCAGCAGGTCCCCCCTCTCTCTCCACGGCGTCGAATGTCTCCAATGGAAAGGCAAACGCCAATACGATTGGTTCCAGCGCCAGTATCATGTGGAGGAAAGTAGCAGTCGGAGCCACTCACATGACCTTAGAGTGATGACCTTTTGGTCCGTTCTTGACCCTTATTAAGTACTGTACACTTATCAAACCCTGGACCCTTGTTAAGTCCAGGATCTTTATCAAGTTCAGGATCTTTATCAAGTTCTGAACCTTTATCAAGTTATGGACCTTTATCAAGTTATGGATCTTTATCAAGTTCTGGACCTTTATCAAGTTCTGGACCTTTATCAAGTTCTGGGCCTTTATCCATTTCAGGATCCTAATATGAACTTTCATGGTACAGTGTTTAGCATAACTCAATGAAAAGCCACAGAACCTGTTGATTTTCCTGGCCTGACAAGTCTCAGAATGCTTCACAAGGGATCACCAAGGCTCACATACAGTCAGAAAGCCTTCAACGGGCTCGACATTACGTCTAATTCAAGCCAGATGAGCCTCAGGCAGGCTCATGAAAGCTCACAAGGCTGAGAACGAAATAAAAATTACCAAACTTGCCTACAAATTACATATAAAAAAACTGGGAATGCTCGCATGGCCTCAAGAAGGTTCGAACGATCTAAATAAACCTCATAAGCGTTCGAATTGCTGATGTACACGAGGTCAAAGAGTCACACTGAAGTTCAAAACCTGTTGTATACAGGTTCAGGAATATTCACTCGGGGGTCAGAAGTCAAACACGGGGTCAGAGCCACTTATACCTGCTCAGATATGCAGAAACGTGTCTAATTTCCGAAAGGTTTCCCCTAAATGATTTACCACTATTGAGTAGCATAAAAGTAGAAAAGCTATAATCTATCACTTTACTTATAATATATATATATATATATATATATATATATATATATATATATATATATATATATATATATATATATATATATATATATATATATATATATATATATATATATATATATAAATCGTCGTGGATGTAAACACGTATCTCCAACATACGAGGATGTTATTTAGCCAACCAGCCCGCCAGGATGTTCACTATATGACATAAATGAACAGGTGAACAACCATCAGATAACCGACGTAATGCTCCGGAAAAGGTTGTCAAGACACAGGTCAAGGTGTCAAGACACAGGTCAAGGTGTCAGGTCACAAGGTCATGCCACTACGCTCATGCTCTACAGGGGCATGAACCCATATAATCGTCCCAATCAAATCTTGGTTTAATTTCTGTTACGAAATACAGAACATATACGCAACAGGGCCAATCAGAATGTTTGAGCTGAGGATCAATGTTATTCGATGTGGCGAAGCAATTTTCTGAGTCCCAATCAGGTAAAGTGGTGCTGGTTCCATCATCTATAGAGCAACATAGCAATAATCTATTGACGTCTGTGTTCATCAGCTTCAAGAGATCTCATACAGTAGGTAGCAGAGCTGCTCTAGTGTTTTTTGTAGAATGTATGAACATTTTATAGAATGTTTGAACATGTATGAGTCTGTATGTGTGGTTGTTTGTTGTATCTATGTGTGTGTGTGTGTGTGTGTGTGTGTGTGTGTGTGTGTGTGTGTGTGTGTGTGTGTGTGTGTGTGTGTGTGTGTGTGTGTGTGTACTCGCCTACTTGTACTCACTTATTTGTGCTTGTGGGGGTTGAGATTTGTCCCTTTGGTCCCGCCTTTCAACTGTCAATCAACTGGAGCATAGATTCCTGAGCCTATTGGGCTCTATCATATCTACACTTGAAACTGTGTATGGAGTTAGCCTCCACCACATCACTTCCTAGTGCATTCCATTTACTAACTACTCTAACCATGAAAAAATTATTTCTAATGTCTCTGTGGCTCATTTGGGTACTAAGTTTCCACCTGTGTCCCCTTGTTCGTGTCCCACCCGTGCTGAAGAGTTTGTCTTTGTCCCACCCCTGTCAATTCCCCTGAGAATTTTGTAGGTGGTTATCATGTCTCCCCTTACTCTTCTGTTTTCCAGGGACGTGAGGTTCAGCTCCTTTAACCTTTCCTCGTAGCTCATACCTCTCAGTTCCGGGACAAGTCTGGTGGCATACCGCTGAATCTTCTCTAACTTTGTCTTGTGTTTAACTAGATATGGACTCCAGGAAGGAGCTGCATATTCCAGGATTGGTCTGACATAAGTGGTATACAGGGTATACAGGGTACAGTGGTGTGTGTGTGTGTGTGTGTGTGTGTGTGTGTGTGTGTGTGTGTGTGTGTGTGTGTGTCCGTGCGTGCGTGCGTGCGTATACGTATTAATAAACTGATAAACAACCAATGAGGGTACCTCATTTCACTCATAATGTTAGCTAAAGGATACTGCAAGGAATATACTTAAATCATTTAATATCTCTGTAGCCCCAGAGGTTACTCAGGCATTAGGTCAAACATATTATCAACATGTAATGTCCACTACAAACTAGTGTTACTTTATATCAAAACACAATTTTATACACTGCAGTTCTTAAAATTAAAGACTTTAGAATCTATGTTTTTAATAGGAATTAATTACATGAAAAACTTAACTAGGTACTTAATTATTAGGAGTCATGTGATAAAGAATATTATCTATTTCACATAGTAAGTTGTCCTCTTAAGTCATGTGATTATGAATGAATCAGGGACTGCTTGTGCTACAGATCATCTATGTCGTATGTTTTGATCAACATATCTGTGAGATTCGACACAATTAAATAGAAACTTTAGAGTTTTAGAGTTTCTGATGGACGTTCTTCGGCGTGGGAAGCTAACTTCGTAAACTGATGGGTACAATCTCTGGCTTGGTAAGGAGAGGAGTGTCTTCGCGCCTGGTAAACTTCTGGGTATTCTCTCGCTGGTAAACTCAGAGCCGTACGTTCTCCATGCGTTGATACAACGTTGTTGCCTGTATACAGCGGTGTGTATGCGTTGTTTGCTGGGTATAAATATTTACCTGAAGGAAAGGTGGCGATCAAGAAAGAATCGACAAGAAAATACAATCCACGAGGAAATTGAGAAGAGAGAAAGATGAGAGAGACAAAGGAGCTGTGGGAGAAGAAGTGGAGAGAATATATAACAGGAAGAGAGGAGAACAGGTGAAGGGCGTAATAGGAGACACACAACCGGGGAGAAGAGAGAGAGAATCAGAGCGAGGATTAATCTAGCATTTACCCAGCCCGTTACGAAACCTGTGCATCTTTTCCTAATCACAGGCATCCTTGTTTATATTTATTCGACAGTTTATGAGTTCCGAAGCGCTATGAGGTTGTTGATAACAATCATAACCTTGTATTGTGAAGTTTACAAAATCGTAAACTGTTTAATAAATGTCAACAAAGTCGCCAAGAATAAAGAAAGATCTAAAGGTTTCGCAAATGGTTGAATATAAAGGGTAAATGACTCCTGATCCAGTACGATGACTGACCCCCAAAATGACACAGAATATACGGAAAATGTGAGGACAAAATATTGAAAAAGGAGAAAATAACTTTATCATGCCAACTCGAATGGCTTATTTGGATGAGGATGGGAAAATAAAGCCAAGTGGAGAACTTGCGAAGATTTGCATCGTTGCAAGAAGCAAGAGTCTGGCCCATGGCTTGAGGGAGAAGCTCTCGGCGTCTCGACACAAGTTCCAGCGGAAGTTTGACTGGAGAACTTGGCTTCAAAGTCAATATCAAGAAAGAGAAGGAATGAAAGAAGAAAAAGAAGAGCGAAGAGAAGAGAGAAAGAAGAGAGAGGGATTGAAGAACCAGACACCCCCCCAAGGCCTCCCTGTTGAATGGCCGCCTCGTGGTCCCCTGTAAACAAGAGAAATTGATTACTTTAGAACTTAACATAGATCTTGTCTCCCATTTTACCTAATTACTTAACATTTTACTTTGGTATTTAGCTTTCTTTTATAATTAGACAATGGACATGTAAGATTGCCGAAAGCGCTCAGTCAATTCTCTAATTTTTCAATCTTTATCATTCGCAGATATTCGTACATGAAAATTTAAAATATTATTGCAGTTTATCTCTTTAATATAAGTCTGTATCTCACTTGTTCTCTCCTGAACATTGAACACTTGTTCACAAGAACTGACTATGAACACGGGGCTCAGAAAATTCGAAATGTTAGAAAGATTACAAGAGTCCTGTTCTCAGTTATCATTGCAAGATAATAAACTATATTTACGAAAGAAATTTCATAATTTGGAAACCTATGGTGCATGGTTAGGTTAGGTTAGGTTAGGTAAGGTTAGGTAAGGTTAGGTTAGGTTAGGTTAGGTTAGGTTAGGTTAGGTTAGGTTAGGTAAGGTTAGGTTAGGTTAGGTTAGGTAAGGTTAGGTTAGGTTAGGTTAGGTTAGGTTAGGTAAGGTTAGGTTAGGTTAGGTTAGGATTGAACACTGAATGAGAAATATTTCATGTGATATACATATGATAGCAGGCCAGAGGGATTGGTGGTCATTCAGAGTACATTCATGTACTCTGAATGTTCGGTGGGGTTATTCCCCCTATTGTACATGTACTCTGACAGGTGTAGGGGGAAGTACTCACCCTTCTGTACATGTACTAGGACGGTGGCGGGGTGTGAACCCTGGGGGACACAGGAGTACATGCCAGAGTCACCAGGACCCACTGACGACACCACAAGTCGGGTCGTTGTCTCTCCTCGACCTCGGTCAATCTGTCAACACAAAAATACACTTATCGTATACATGGGAAGTGATTGTGTGCGTGTGTATGTGTATGTGTGTGTGTGTGTGTGTGTGTGTGTGTGTGTGTGTGTGTGTGTGTGTGTGTGTGTGTGTGTGTACTCACCTAATTGTACTCACCTAATTGTGCTTGCGGGGGTTGAGCTCTGGCTCTTTGGTCCCGCCTCTCAACCGTCAATCAACTGGTGTACAGATTCCTGAGCCTATTGGGCTCTATCATATCTACATTTGAAACTGTGAATGGAGTCAGCCTCCACCACATCACTTCCTAATGCATTCCATTTGCTAACTACTCTGACACTGAAAAAGTTCTTTCTAACGTCTCTGTGGCTCATTTGGGTACTCAGCTTCCACCTGTGTCCCCTTGTTCGCGTCCCACCAGTGTTGAAAAGTTCGTCCTTGTTTACCCGGTCGATTCCCCTGAGGATTTTGTAGGTTGTGATCATGTCCCCCCTTACTCTTCTGTCTTCCAGTGTCGTGAGGTGCATTTCCCGCAGCCTTTCCTCATAACTCATGCCTCTTAGTTCTGGGACTAGTCTAGTAGCATACCTTTGGACTTTTTCCAGCTTCGTCTTGTGCTTGACAAGGTACGGGCTCCATGCTGGGGCCGCATACTCCAGGATTGGTCTTACATATGTGGTGTACAAGATTCTGAATGATTCCTTACACAGGTTCCTGAACGCCGTTCTGATGTTAGCCAGCCTCGCATATGCCGCAGACGTTATTCTCTTTATGTGGGCTTCAGGAGACAGGTTTGGTGTGATATCAACTCCTAGATCTTTCTCTCTGTCTGTTTCATTAAGTACTTCATCTCCTATTCTGTATCCTGTGCCTGGCCTCCTGTTTCCACTGCCTAGTTTCATTACTTTGCATTTACTCGGGTTGAACTTCAACAGCCATTTGTTGGACCATTCACTCAGTCTATCCAGGTCATCTTGTAGCCTCCTACTATCATCCTCTGTTTCAATCCTCCTCATAATTTTTGCATCGTCGGCAAACATTGAGAGGAACGAATCTATACCCTCTGGGAGATCATTTACATATACCAGAAACAGTATAGGTCCAAGGACTGACCCCTGCGGGACTCCACTTGTGACGTCTCGCCAATCTGAGACCTCACCCCTCACACAGACTCGTTGTCTCCTGTTGCTTAGGTATTCCTCTATCCACCGGAGTACCTTCCCTCTCACTCCAGCCTGCATCTCCAACTTTCGCACTAGCCTCTTGTGTGGCACTGTATCAAAGGCTTTCTGACAATCCAAAAATATGCAGTCTGCCCACCCTTCTCTTTCTTGCCTTATTTTTGTTGCCTGGTCGTAGAATTCAAGTAACCCTGTGAGGCAGGACCTGCCATCCCTGAACCCATGTTGATGCTGTGTTACAAAGTTCCTTCGCTCCAGATGCTCCACTAGTTTTTTTCGCACAATCTTCTCCATCAGCTTGCATGGTATGCAGGTTAGGGACACTGGCCTGTAGTTCAGTGCCTCCTGTCTATCCCCTTTCTTGTATATCGGGACTACGTTAGCTGCTTTCCAAGTATCTGGCAGTTCCCCTGTTGCCAGTGATTTGTTATACACTATGGAGAGTGGTAGGCTCAGTTCTCTTGCTCCTTCCTTTAGAACCCAAGGGGAGATTCCATCTGGGCCTATAGCCTTCGTCACGTCCAACTCTAGTAAACACTTCCTTACTTCCCCACTGGTAATCTCAAACTCTTCCAGTGGTTCCTGGTTAGCTATTCCCTCACTTACCTCTGGAATTTCTCCTTGTTCTAAGGTGAAGACCTCCTGGAATTTCTTATTCAATTCCTCACACACTTCCTTGTCATTTGTAGTGAATCCTTCCGCCCCTATCCTTAATCTCATAACCTGTTCCTTTACTGTTGTTTTTCTCCTAATGTGGCTATGCAACAATTTAGGCTGAGTCTTTGCCTTGCTTGCGATGTCATTTTCGTATTGTCTTTCTGCCTCTCTTCTCATCCTGACATATTCATTCCTGGCATTCTGGTATCTTTCTCTGCTCTCCAGTGTCCTGTTATTCCTATAGTTTCTCCATGCCCTTTTACTTTGCTGCTTAGCTAGCCTACATCTTTGATTAAACCATGGGTTTCTCATCTTCATTTCTCTGTTTTCCTTTTGGACTGGGACAAACTTGTTTGCTGCGTCCTTGCACTTCTGCGTGATGTAATCCATCATATCTTGGGCCGTCTTTCCCCTGAGCTCAGTTTCCCATGCTATATCTGTTAGGAATTTTCTTATCCCCTCATAGTTTCCCTTTCGGTATGCTAACCTTTTGGTTTCGGTATCCCTCCTCGAGTTCAATAACCCTTCTTCAATCAAGTACTCAAACACCAGTACACTGTGGTCGCTCATTCCTACTGGGTCCTCAAAACCGATTTCTCTTATGTCGGAGTCGTTCAGAGTGAAGACTAGGTCGAGTCTCGCTGGTTCGTCATTGCCTCTCATCCTTGTGGGTTCTCCGACATGCTGCGTTAAAAAGTTGCTTGTCACCACCTCCAATAGTTTGGCTCTCCACGTATCCTCGCCTCCATGCGGTTCCTTGTTCTCCCAGTCAATCTTTCCGTGATTGAAGTCGCCCATGATGAGCAGGTGGGATCTATTTCTACAGGCAGCAGAGGCTGCCCTCTCAATTATAGTGTTAACTGCCTTGTTGTTGTTTTCATACTCTTGACTGGGTCTCCTGTCATTTGGTGGAGGGTTGTATATTACTGCTACTACTATTCTTGGTCCTCCCATTGTTATGGTGCCTGCTATGTAGTCTCTGAACTCCTCACAGCCCGGGATGGCCATCTCCTTAAAACTCCATTCCCTTCTCATGAGTAGGGCCACTCCGCCTCCTCCTCTACCTTCCCTCTCTTTCCTTATTACTGTATACTCCTGGGGAAACACGGCATTCGTTATGATTCCAGAGAGTTTTGTTTCAGTGAGTCCGATTACATCTGGGTTAACTTCTTGTGCTCTTTCCCTTAGTTCACTTGTCTTGCTTGTGATCCCATCTATGTTCGAGTACATCACCCTGAAACTGACTCTCTTCTGCTTCTTTTCTGGGGGGGACCTTTGGGATCTGGGGTGAGTGGGAGCTGGGGGGACCTGGCACCGGGGGATTGGTGGAGGAGGGAGGGCTTGGGGTGGTGGGGGAGAGGGGGAGGGTACAGGGGGTGGATAAGAGGGGGAGGGTACAGGGGGTGGATAAGAGGGGGAGGGTACAGGGGGTGGATAAGAGGGGGAGGGTACAGGGGGTGGATAAGAGGGGGAGGGTACAGGGGGTGGGTAAGAGAGGGAGGGTTGGGGAAGCATGGGGGGAGGAGAGGCTGTGGGGGATAGGGGAGATGGGGGGGCTTGGGGGGAGAGAAAAGGGTGGAGGGCTTGGGGGGCGTGGGGGAAAAGGGAGGGCTGAGGTGGGTGAGAAAGAGGGGAGGGTTTAGGGGAGTGGGGGAGAGGGGAAGACTTAGGTGGGGTGGGGGAGAGTGGGGGGCTTAGGGGGGAGGGGGAGAAGGGAGGGCATGGGGGTGGGAGAGACGGGAAGGCATGTGGGAGAAGGGAGGGCATGGGGGATGGGAGAGAAGGGAGGTCCTGGGGAGAGGGGTGAGGGGGAGAAGGGGGGTGAGTGGGGGGAGGGGGGTGGGAGGGGGGAGGGTGCCCTAGGTGGGTACTTAGTGGGGGGCTGACATGGGATGGGGCAGGTTGGGTGTCTGTTGGGTAGAATTTGGGGGTGGTGCCCCAATCCCTGTGGCTGTTGCACTGTTTGAGGAGGGTTCTCCACTTCCCTCTGGGATTGTAGGGTTCTGGGTTGTGGTACTCTGATTTCCTTTTCTCTCCCTGCGCTCCTTCCTCGCGTCTGCTGTCCGTATTCTCTCTTCCCTTGTCATATCCCTCTGCAGGAATATTTTCTTGAACTTCTCTACACCTTTTAGACAACACTTCCTTGCTAGCAGTTCCTCTTTCGCGATTTCGCTCATGAAAACCACCTTTATCATTCGGTCTCTGTCCTTGTTGTACTTTCCAAGCCTGAAAACCTTTTCAACATTTCGCTCAGCTCCCTCCATCCTTACCTCTTTAAGGATCTCTTTAATCATGTTTTTGTCCTTGTCTCTCCGCTCCTTTGGTCCTCCTTTGGTCTGTGTGTGTGTGTGTGTGTGTGTGTGTGTGTGTATTTCACTATTTGTATTTACTATATGTGTCTGCGGAATCGAGCTAATAGCTCTTGGACCCGGCCTTTCTAATCAATTTATTTTTTCCTTAGATATTGTAGAGATAATGGCAATATGGTCTTGACCCTAAACACTCTTAATGGCTCTAGAATGGTACATTCGATGGTATTCCATTGTTAGGGAGACAAAGGTTTGTTAATCTTGACGAGGTCCCCCCTCTCAGGCCACGTCTTTTTGAGAGTGTCCCAAAATTGACGACAATTTTCTACAAAAATCTCCCGCGTTTCCATGGAGACTGAAATGCTTAAAAATATTCTAAAAGGAAAATAAGCACATTTTACTCTCAGTGAGACTTGCTGCTTCACCCATGATGATATATTTCATATGAGGTTTATATTTGCCTTTTTGAGAACTATTTACAGAACGAGTTTTATGAGTAAGTCTTCTATAAACTTTATTTGGGTCCCTGGGAACAGATTCACGGAGCAGTTACGCAAGCACTTACAAACGTGTACATCTTTCCTCAATCTTTGACGGCTTTGGTTACATTTATTAAACAATTTACAAGCATGAAAACGTCCAAGTCAACTGTTGTTATTGTTATGAACATCCTCCTGGTGCTTCGGAGCTCATTAACTGTTTAAGAATTGTAAACAAAGCCGCCAAAGATTGAGAAAAGGTGTACAGGTTCGTAAGTATTTGCGTAATCTTCGTTAATTTGGCCCCTGGACTGTAAGTGATTGCTTACGCTTCCAAGGTCTAGAAAATGTCTTTTATTCCCCACAAAATTAGCTTTTACTTTGTCAACCAATTAATTGCAGCTCAGATTTATTTAAATCAGTCCCCCGCATAATTTACTAATTCAGTTTTCTTAATATTACCCCAAACTCGTCTTCAGACTCTGAGCGTTCGAGCAGTAGTCGACCCCAAAGTCACATTCACCTATTCCCAAAATAATTATATTAATCAATTTATATTAATCCAAAAATATGGATTAATATTATCAAATATTAGAATTATGTGTCTAGTTAAGCAAGGTTAACTCAGGTGTTTCCATTCTGTTGAAAATAATTTATATTTAAATTACGTGGGTGAACAGTCCGTCCCTCATCCACAAAGATCAAATGCTCGTTAATCCGTCCGCCAAACCCCTCGTTTATCAATGAGAAAACACTTCACAACGACTCATAACTGATGACGTATGAACTTTTGTCGAGCAAATGCTTCGTTCACCACCTCTGCTCGAATCGCCCCTCTGTAAATGCTTCACCCACGTTCTGCAGATACAAACAAGTGGTAATAGAATGCAAACAGCAATAGAACGTAAACACCTAACCAAACTTATGCCTCACAATACACGAAAATTATATAATATAATGAGACACGATACGTTTTTCAATTGATTCATATTGCCGGGGTTGGCTGGAGCAGCTTGAACGAGTCTAACGTGAGATTGGCTCGTTACCTCCGCGGATCAGATCATTCAGGGGCTAGTTGTACTTACTGGAGATAGTGCTGTGAAAATTGTGATGAAAAACTCTTAAAACTCTTAATGTAGAAATTACGACAGCCGGTTAAGAGCTGAATGTGTTTGGTGATAGTGAGTTATAGAGACGATTGTGGTTATAGACACGGTCATATTGACCAGACTACACACTAGAAAGTGAAGGGACGACGACGTTTCGGTCCGTCCTGGACCATTCTTAAGTCGATTGCCACCAGGAAACGGTCGTGTTCAGAGTCCCAGCCTACGCTAGACCAATTATCATCTCGTCCTTAAGGTAAGCAACTCCTCGAGCCTCAAGTGGTACCTTCACTTGAGCTGTTTATATGGATTTATACGTCCGTGTTCGAATGGTTATATATTTGTAGTATATGAAGATTTAAATGTATATTTTCTAGTGTGTATTTAAATTATATTAAAGTGTATGATTATCTTTAATTATAGGTAAGATATCACACTTCGAGGGACAGAGAGCCAGCAGTTTCAGGTATGTTTCTATTTCCTTCAGTTTTCGTGGCTGTAGTTCGAAGATCTAGCAAATTTAGAGTCCGCCATTTCCGTTCGTTATGTAATTGCTATTGTGAAGAATTGAGAGCATGTAGGGTGTCTCTCCGGTGTGACGCCTGCCTCTAACTCCCTGTAGTTTAGAAGAAAAAGTAATCCGGGCGTATGGTGCGAGACTTGTGAGTTCACAGGGTTCGAATCCCTTCATTGTTCTCGACTGATTCTCTTATAGATATTTAACGGCAGTGAGGTTTCCTTGTGTGTGTCGGTAGTTTAATCGCCTCGTTATGCTTCATGGTTAAAGTAATTCAAATTGATCCCATTGTTACTGTGTTATGATGTCCAGAAATTGATCGCTGCGTAAGAAAAAGTGTCAAATTTCGAACATCAACGATGTTCGAAATATGCATTTGAAGGGACTGAATATCTATTTTCTCGTGGGATTTATAGGTCAAGCATGTATGTTTATTTTAGACTGGGGAAATATTTACAGGTGTCATTTTCAACATCGTTAAACAACTTTATTTTTTCTGTCAAGGGCTTCTATGTTAATCGTGATATCAATTTTTTTTACCTGTTGTTAATTGATGTTAACGTCATTTGAATGCGTGGAAAAGTCTATATAAAACATTGCTCAAACATCCATACGACATTGACGCACAAACACATGAGATAATTTTCTACAAAATATATTTTAATCCGTCGGAAATTAATTCCAACCACTCAGGAAATCGTTGATGTACAGAACCTGTACTAAGCTAATGAACAACGCTGTACATTAGCACAGCGGTGTACTCTGACTTCATCTCGTTCAGTAAATTCTGATTTTTTGTTTTTCAAAGCTCACTACTTTTACACCCCGGCCAACCAGTGAATGCCCAACATATTTTTGTAAATACATTTACAAGATCTAGTCATGCAGGGCGCTATAGCATATATTCTCGTGTAAACTCATTGTCAACCATGCTGGTTGCTACACAATTAGTTGTCATGGAAACTATTTTTTTTTCCTATTCAATTTTTGGGAGGTTGAGCTCGCCCATCACTATAATCTTGGCTCTCATTTTTATTGCGATATTGCTGACGGTCACTTGTTTGTGTTTTTGTCGTTTGGTGTTTATTGTCTGGTTATAAAAGCGTATAATCTTGGAGACTTGCCGTCACCTTGATGCCGCCCCTGGGGGACTCACCTTCACGCCGCCCCTGGGGGACTGACCTTGAGGTTGACGCCGCCCCTGGGGGAGTTGTAGTCGATGAGGCTGGTGTCATGGTACCAGTAGACCAGGGCTGAGGGACCGCGGAGTGAGGTCACCAGACAGGTGAGGGTGAGAGAGGAGCCCTCCTCGATGTACAGCTCCCGTGGCCCCAAGATCTCCACCTTAAGGTTTCCTGAAGCAGCGAGACAGTAGTGAGACGGACGAGGGCGAGGAGGAGGACAGGGACGGGCGAGAAGGAAGACAGACATGGTAGAAGATAGAGAACAGAGACGGTAAGAGACAGACAGGTGAGGAGGGGTATATAGCTCCCCGCAAACACAACCTAACCACACCATTGCAGCAACTTTATAATCTTGGCTCAGGTATACATAAACTCATCTCTGCTCAAGTATTCATACATCCATGCTGAATCAGGTATACATTAACCCATTCAACCTAAAATGTACTCCATATCAGATATTCATACACCTATCTGCGCTCGAGTATACATAGTCCGACGATGACTCGGGTATCCATGTGCCCATCTGGCCTCAGGTATGCATATTCCCCCCCTCTATCATCAAGAATACATACAGGTCATCTCCCTCGTCGTTTTAAGAGTATGAATACAAGCATACATGGGGAAAAAAAGCACAACCAATTAAAACTTTAATTTGTCATTGCTGTTACCTAATAATTAGTCAGTGTACAGATAAGCGGCTTAACTTGTACTGGGAACGGTAAGCTGGAACCATTGGGGAAGACCCACGCTTTAATTCCTCCGGACTGCGGCAGCCATTATCAGGGCTGTGAATAACTCTTGAGTTACCCCTTCATGTTTATATTCCAGGGGGGACTCTAGTGTTCCTGACGGTGATATTCCAGGGGGGACTCTAGTGTTTCTGACGGTGATATTCCAGGGGGGACTCTAGTGTTCCTGACGGTGATATTCCAGGGGGGACTCTACTGTTCCTCACGGTGATATTCCAGGGGGGGACATACTAACCTTCTTAGTATGTTAAGATAAGCATCTTATTGCTTCGTAATTACAATTATTACTTAACCTATACCTATAATAGGTATAGGTTAAGTAACTGAGGTAAGGTAACCTTACTAATACCCTTACTAGTTACCTTACCTAGTTACCCTTATAGGTAACTAAGAAGGTTAGGTAAGGTCGGTGTTTTCTATGAAGCTTTTCAAGGTAAACTAGTATGTTTAGTATGTCACATATGCACGTGTTTAATAAGTCAATATTGACTGTAAGAAAGTGCAAGAACGGGTTGGCCTTTGGAGTCTGTGTGCTTGTGGGTGTTATGTGTGTGTGTGCATGCGCAAATCTACATAAGAACTGCTAACACAAATCTTCCCTGCTTCAAGTTAATACATACAACATTCAAAGAGTCGACAGCCTAAACACACACTCTATACATAATGTATATGTCATGCCTAATACATAGGCATGAACATGTACTCAAATTTAAATCATTCATAATTTGAAAGCCTAATTCCCATCGCACCATCATTGCTTCGATCTCTCAGGATGGAATTTTGTTGGAAACGAATTCTTTTTATAATTGCATTTATTCGACCTCAATTATATCTCATAGAAAATGTAATTCTTTTCTCCGTGTGCCTCCTGTTATTGGTGAGGGGATGAGGTAGGAGATAGAGAGAGACAGGGCAGGATGGAGAGATAATTTAATGAATAATAAACAGAGAAAGTTGGAATAAAGTTCAGAGAGACAATTAGCATTCTGATTTTTTTTACATAAATACAATTATTAAACACAAACGAGACTTTATGGTTATCACATTTCGTTATATCTACTGCAATCGGTCTCGACCACGATATCAAATATTTATAGATAATAAATATTTCTAATTAGACATTGATTACTGATCCAGTTCACTCGTTGGTAATTATTCTTTGATCAGTCTTGGAGGCTTTCTGAAGCACTTGATCCTAGACCATCCTTGATGGTTTCCTGTGACCTGAGGCTTCCTTCACGTGACCCCAGACCATTCTTAATGGCTTCCTGTGACCTAAGGCTTCCTGAACCTGACCCCAGACCACCCTTCAAGGCTTCCTGGCCTGTGTTTCTTGGACAACAGACATCTGGGCTACGAACTTTTCTTTATAACTCAAACATATGAGGCAGAGGGACAGGAACAGGGGAACAGGGTGGTGGGGTAGAGGGGAGATGGAGATAGGGAGAGAGGGAGAGTGGATATTGGGACGGGAAGAAGAGGATAGGTGAGGAAAGGAAGGGAGATGACGAGATAGGGAGGAGATGGTGGGGAGGAAGGGAGAGTAGATGATTAAGGTACAGGTGTACATCTACTCTACTCACCATCCTTGGTAGAAGCAGTATTGTTAGCGACGAACACTTTGGTCTTGGTCACTATGCCCGTGGGTCTCGGCTCTATGTACACGTGAAATAAAATAATATTAACACTGGTAGAATACATATATACATATTTGGGCTTAGTTCCCAATACATGTATTCTAAATAGCAGAAATGATTTAATCGAGTTTTCAATACTTGTTTAAACTTGAGTTTGATTGAATTTTAAATGATCTACTCATGAAGACTCACTGTGGACTCAGTACGACTCACCGTAGACTCGGTAGGACTCACCGTAGACTCAACAGGACTCACCGTGGACTCTGAGAGTGACGTGACGGGAGAGTTTGGGCTCGGTGTTGACCTGGCACTCGTAGACGCCCGCGTCCCTCAGCTGTGAGTACCGAACCACCAGCGTCCACTCCGTGCCTCCCTCAGCATGCACCACCCGGTAGACAGAGATTCCGATAGACAGGTTGACAGTGACAGGGGTACAGCAGAATATATTGACAGTGACAGGGGGTCTAGCACAACATATTGACAGTGACAGGGGTTCACCACAACATATTAACAGTGACAGGGGTCCAGCACAACATTGGCAGCGATCAAAGATAATCATTGATTTGTCTTACTAACAAAAATACAATTTATTACACACACACACACACACACACACACACACACACACACACACACACACACAAAATTTTCAATAAATTCATCAAAAGCAAGCTGCATGTAAGGATAAAATCCTGAGATTGAGAACGGGGAACAGGATTACTGAGAATGAAAAAGAAATGTGTGAAAGGCTAAATGAACAGCTCCAAAGTGTGTTCATACAAAATGAGGATTTCAGAGAGCCGGATCAAATACCACTTCCAGAACACGCCATAGAATACATAGAAGTATCTTAAGACGAAGTGGAACAATTACTCATGGAGCGAGGAAGAAATAAAGCAGTTGGATCTGATGGAGTTTCACCTTGGGTGCTGCGAGAATGTGCAACTGAGTTGAGCATTCCACTCCCAATTAATATTCCAGACATCCTTGTGCACAGGAATCTTAGCAGATATATGGAAAAAGGCAAACATAGTACCAATTTATAAAAATGTTAGTCGAGGGGAACCTTTATATTATAGACCCGTATCATTAACAAGTGTGGTAGTCAAAACACTAGAAACAATAGTTAAAGCCAAATGGGTTGAACAGCTAGAGAGTAATGACATAATAACAGACAAACAGTGTGGTTTTCAAACAGGAAGATCTTGTGTAACACATCTACTTAGTTTTTATGATAGAGCCACAGAGATACTACAGGAAAGAGGAGATTGGGTTGACTGTGTCTATCTGGACCTAAAAAAAGGGCTTTTTATAGAGTCCCACACAAGACATGGGGGTGACAGGAAGACTTCTGACATAGATGAAAAGTTTTCTGTCAGAGGAGGGCAGTAATCAGAGACAATGTATCTGACTGGAAGAGTGTTACTAGCGGAGTGCCACAGGGTTCAGTTCTTGCACCAGTAATGTCTACCCTCTACATAAACCATCTACCAGAAGGAGTACACAATTATATGAACATATTTGCGGATGATGCTAAGATACTGAGGAAGACAGGAGACGCAGACATTTATAATGCCCTTCAAATTGATCTAGATAAAAGAAGTGCTTGAAGCGACACGTGGCAAATGAAATTCAATGTGAATAAATGTCATGTTATAGAATTTGGAGTCTTAGAATATAGACCACACACAACTTACAAATTACGTGGAAAGGAATTACAGAACTCTAATAAAGAAGGAGACCTTGAGGGGTGGTTTTGGGTAGTAAGGTGTCGTCAGAGGAACACTTAAAGAACATTGTGAGAGGAGCGTATGTGTCGCTTTCCAACTTCAGACTTGCTTTTAATTATATGGTACTGGTACCAGTAAGACCAGGTACCTGGGAGCTCTCACTACCAGTAAGACTAGGTAACTGGGAGTCCCCACTACCAGTAAGACCAGGTACCTGGGAGCCCCCACTACTAGTAACACCCAGTACCTGGGAGCCCCCACTACCAGTAAGACCAGGTACCTGTTAGCCCCCACTACCAGTAAGACCGGGTACCTGGGAGCCCCCACTACCAGTAAGACCGGGTACCTGGGAGCCTCCACTACCAGTAATACCAGGTACCTGGGAGCTCTCACTACCAGTAAGACTAGGTAACTGGGAGCCCCCACTACCAGTAAGACCAGGTACCTGGGAGCCCCCACTACTAGTAACACCCAGTACCTGGGAGCCCCCACTACCAGTAAGACCGGGTACCTGGGAGCCCCCACTACCAGTAAGACCGGGTACCTGGGAGCCTCCACTACCAGTAAGACCGGGTACCTGGGAGCCTCCACTACCAGTAAGACTAGGTACCTGGAAGCGCTGGTCAGCGGAGTAGGTGTGAAATCCTGCCGTCAGAATGTGTAGGTCCCTCTGCCGGAGCCACGTCACCTGGGGAGGGTAAAAGTACTCATCAATATTCATCATATACTCATCACCCTCATCAACCTCATGTCACTAGCAGGCTCGATAAATAACACCTTCCATACTTCCTCATAACTCGTGCCTCTTACCTCCGGATCCAGTCAGGTGGTGCTTCTCTGGACTTTTGTACAGCTTCTAAACCATGAATATGTGAATGTGTGTTGTGAATTCACCTGGGAACCCCGGTCCCCAGGATTACGAGTCCTGAGGGCTGTCCACTCAGCCACCAGGCGCCCCTGGTGTATGTTGCTGCGTATGTTACTCATTACCCACCTCACCTCCGCCTCCTGCACTCATTATTCACCCTACTCATTACTCACCTTTCGTCCAATTATTACTTCTACTGTTTATTTCACTCATTGTCTTATTCTCAGCTCCGTCAGTCATTATCTTCCCTTCATCTACTCATTATCCTCCCTATCATTCCCTTCCTAGAATAATTCCAGTCATTATCATCCCCCTCACCGCCACCCCCAGCCATTCTTCCATATCTCAGCTCCCAGCGGCCAATCCCAGCTAATCTCAGCGCTGGGAAGGCATCCCAGCGACAATCTCGCGCGTTGCAGCATCTCAGCGGCTCATCTCCCGTGTTGCGTCATCTCCCAGCCCACCCCCGCTAACCAAGGCCTTCGGTGCGCAATAAAGAGGTTTAATAGCGGTATGCGTAAAACCCGAATGATTTTGGTGCATTATACAGGACCGAGTATGTGTGGTATACATGTATATATGTATAAGTATACATATGGAAGGATTGCAAGACGTTCTAGGATCCTAAAAGGGGGTTGAAATTATGTTTTAATTAACATGGAATATATCTATATATGATATACGCTCTTATTACATATACTATTTGCTTATATGAATGGATAAATAGGGAAGGAACATGGGTAAATAGGGGAGAAACATGGATAAATAGGGGAGGAACATGGGTAAATAGGGGAGGAACATGGGTAAATAGGGGAGGAATGTGAAATTGGGTTTCAGCTTGAAACCCAATTTCAATAAATGTTTGATAATACATTCTAGAATTGTTTTTATTTTAATAAACTAGCCTTGTAAAATTGGTGAATTTTATGCACAGGTTGCGTCTTAAGTGAGGGTGCGTCTTAAGTGAGGGAGCGTCTTAAGTGAGGGTGCGTCTTAAGTGAGGGTGCATCTTAAGCGTGTGACGATAATCTCCTTCAAGAGATTGAGCCTGCTCTTCCCTCCAAAATACGTCGATATATACATCTATATAAAACTAATATGGAAGAAATACCCAACAACTACACCAGCAAGGTTTGCCAGAGCGCAAAACGTATGCAGCCAGGAACACCTGCTCCACCTCGAACCGCCAAACTACCTGTCTGTCGCTTGCTCATCGCTGATTGGCTGCGTGTCCAGTTGCACCTGCCCTCCACCCCCCCACACTACTTCATGTCTGGGGCCACACGACCTACTGCTCTCAGAATATCCAGTGCTTTCATCAGGTTAACACGTCTCATTGGTAGACTAAGCTGTGGCTTACGTGTACTAAGAGAGGTGATAGCTTAAAGCCAATATTCCTGCACCAATATTTACACTTGTTATTACTCACTTGTCTTAATGTAACTTTTCATTTTGTCATTTGATTATTCTTATTATTTTGATTGATTGATTTTATTATACGAATTTGTATGTCCATTTTATTCATGTTTTGCTTTTTCTAACGTAATTAAAATCGCATTGTTAAATTTACTTGTGTTTTGTGTGTCTTCTCATTACCTTACCACAGACGAAGTTCCAGATTTTCTATTTTTTTGTTTCTATGTGACGAGGCCATACCCCTAGCTTTTGAACAGCCGAACACCAACGCGTTACCGTCACAAGAGCAATAGAAAGACGTCGATTTTTATTGTGAGTTGTGTTATAAAAAGAACTGAATGGTTAAAGCTACACCTATGGTAATGTTTAAGATGTTTGGTCCACCGGTAATGTTTAAGATGTGTGTTTGGTCCACCGGTAATGTTTAAGATGTGTGTTTGGTCCACCGGTAATGTTTAAGATGTTTGGTCCACTGTGGCATCTCCTATATGAACAGAACGCCTCGCTTGATGTTATTTGAGGTTTATGTTAATGTCTAGACCACCGAGACAGTCAACTAGACATTATTCGACCTAACCCAGCTTAACGTAGCTTAGCCTAGGCTAACATAACCCAGCTTAATGAGTACATAAAGATACAGAGATACATTGTCGTCGTGGATATTATAGCGAAACAAAGATACTCACAGACTTGTCGTTGAGGTGGAGGACGACACAAGGAAGTTTAGCTGTCTCCCCTTCCTGTACCGTTACCGTCGACTCTGCTGGACCGAACTCAGGCTTCTGTCCACCACTGTCATCCGTCACCCCAACACCTGTAACATCGAAACCTGTCCATCTTGCCTTTGCAATAATTGATGTCTTGTGATTCTCTCACACCCATAGATAGCCAAATATGGAGCAAGTAATATGGTGTAAAAAAGAGAGAGAGAGAGAGGACGGGAAGTGAGACAAATAGAGTTTAACTAGAAGAGACAAACCCCCATTTTTTTTCTTTTGTATTTAAACAAGACTTTCTACTCCAAGAGCAGGATGGGGGATTAATCACGTGTGTCCCAAATAATATAATCATGGGTGAATATAAAAATAGTTGGGATATGAGGACAAGGAGCTGGGGTATGAGGACAAGGAACTGGGGTATGAGGACAAGGAGCTGGGATATGAGGACAAGGAACTGGGGTATGAGGACAAGGAGCTGGGATATGAGGACAAGGAACTGGGGTATGAGGACAAGGAGCTGGGATATGAGGACAAGGAACTGGGGTATGAGGACAAGGAGCTGGGATATGAGGACAAAATGCAGTATTAACTGTATATCTAAACAATTACACTATATTTTGTCTAGGCCGGTGAAAATAGGTAAATGTCCTATTTACATTTAAATTTACCCCAGGTCGAACCCCATAAGTGAACCCCAGATGGAAAAAAGTAATAAGGGGAGCAAAAAATTGTTTGGCAGCTGGAAATGTAACATTGTAAACATTAGCAATTTTTAAGGAATAAGCTGTGTTTAACATGGGCAGGGGGGAGGGGGTAGAGATGTAACAAAGCCACCCGTTATAGTGCGGATGGCTTCGTTAGTGTAGGGGTGGCTTTGTTAGTCAAGGTAGGGGGTGACTTGTTAGGGTAGTGGTGGCTTTGTTAGGGTAGCGGTGGCTTTGTTAGGGAAGGGGTGGTGGTGTCAGGGTAAGAGTATCTTTGTTAGTCAAGGTAGGGGTGGTTTTGTTAGGGTATGGGTGGTGTTGTTAGGGTAAGGGTGGCTTTGTTAGTCAAGGTAGGGGTGGCTTTGTTAGGGAAGGGGTGGTGTTGCTAGGGTAAGGGTGGCTTTGTTAGTCAAGGTAGGGGTGGCTTTGTTAGGGAAGGGGTGGTGTTGTTAGGGTAAGGGTGGCTTTGTTAGTCAAGGTAGGGGTGGCTTTGTTAGGGAAGGGGTGGTGTTGCTAGGGTAAGGGTGGCTTTGTTAGTCAAGGTAGGGGTGGCTTTGTTAGGGAAGGGGTGGTGTTGTTAGGGTAAGGGTGGCTTTGTTAGTCAAGGTAGGGGTGGCTTTTTATCCATGGAAGGGGTGGCATTGCAGCCATGGTAGAGGTGTTTTTTTTCTTAGACATGACAGTCGTAGCTTTTATATAGCAAGTTACAGGCCCATGCAGGGGCCTGGTAGCCTGGTGGATAGCGCGCAGGACTCGTAATTCTGTGGCGCGGGTTCGATTCCCGCACGAGGCAGAAACAAATGGGCAAAGTTTCTTTCACCCTGAATGCCCCTGTTACCTAGCAGTAAATAGGTATCTGGGTGTTAGTCAGCTGTCACGGGCTGCTTCCTGGGGGGTGGAGGCCTGGTCGAGGACCGGGCCGCGGAGACACTAAAGCCCCGAAATCATCTCAAGATAACCTCAAGATAACCCATCACTGGAGACAATACAATACACAGACAAGACACTACATTGTACAGTGATTATGAAAAATAGATTTTTAACAAAGCAAGGATTAAATTATTTGAGAGAGAACGCTCACAGAACATACTTGTGTTAAACCATGATAAACCGAGGAATTACATCAGTGGATAGGGCAAACGCAGGCATGAAAGACATATCCTTTGAAATGGCTAGAATGAAAAAAATATATATTAGAGCTTTGATCCTAGCTAGGTTGTTTATTTTTAAACCATCTTATGTCTGAACAAGCAATATCTACCCTGACGTTCAAAATATTTAATCAAAGTTATAATGAATTCACGGTATTACCTGACTGTTCTATATGCTAATTACGCAAGGATACAACATGTTGTAATTGTGCAATGAATTTGTTGGTTTATAATTTAAAAGCCATTCTTGCATGTTATATTTGGATAAGGAAATGGTTTCGTTCCATTGATTGTTTGAGGACAGATGAGGTCTTACCGTCAACAGGTGATTCATATATAGATTGTTATTGAAACCCATTTACAATCACCGTAATGTAGAACAATGCAACATATATTTATTTTATATATTTGGAAAACTAAGTGTTGGGTATGCTTCAGTTATATGTCGTAGTGTGTATATACTTTCTACAGTTAATTGTGGTAGAGTATACCTTCTACAGTTAATTGTGGTAGTGTGAGTATACTTTCTACAGTTAATTGTGGTAGAGTATACCTTATACAGTTAATTGTGGTAGTGTGAGTATACTTTCTACAGTTAATTGTGGTAGAGTATACCTTCTACAGTTAATTGTGGTAGTGTGAGTATACTTTCTACAGTTAATTGTGGTAGAGTATACCTTCTACAGTTAATTGTGGTAGTGTGAGTATACTTTCTACAGTTAATTGTGGTAGAGTATACCTTCTACAGTTAATTGTGGTAGTGTGAGTATACTTTCTACAGTTAATTGTGGTAGAGTATACCTTATACAGTTAATTGTGGTAGTCTGAGTATACTTTCTACAGTTAATTGTGGTAGTCCGAGTATACTTGAAATTTAGTTAATGCAATTTTTGTGTTTTTGATCATAAATTTTCGACATGTCGGAATTATTTAAGTAACTCAGTGTTTTGATGTTTTGAACTTGACGACCAAATTAGAAAAACAAGTTCTATAACTGTGTTTTATTCTGCATGAGTCGGACGCTTAAACTGTTTAGTTTTTTTTCTCTCTCGCTCGTGAGGTGAGGAGGACAAGGAACCGCAATATGAGGACAAGGAACCGGGATTTGAGTACAAGTTGCTGGTATATGAGGACAAAGAGCTGGTATATGAGGACAAGTAGCTGGTATATGAGGACAAGGAGCTGGTATATGAGGACAAGGAGCTGGGATATGAGGACAAGGAGCTGGTATATGAGGACAAGGAGCTGGGATATGAGGACAAGGAGCTGGGTTATGAGGACAAGGAGCTGGGATATGAGGACAAGGAGCTGGGATATGAGGACAAGGAGCTGGGATATGAGGACAAGGAGCTGGGATATGAGGACAAGTAGCTGGGATATGAGGACAAGTAGCTGGGATATGAGGACAAGGAGCTGGGATATGAGGACAAGGAGCTGGGATATGAGAACAAGGAGCTGGGATATGAGAACAAGGAGCTGGGATATGAGGACAAAGAGCGGGATATGAAGACCAGGTGAAGCAGCGATCCCCAGCACTTGAACCAACAAATTATCAATAGACCTTTGAGAATATTCACAGCCTACCCGTCTCAATGAGCACTTTGTGAGCAGGTAAACGTTAAACTCACCTCAGCAATTAGCTGTTAAGCGACCCCGCCGCTGAAAGGCAAATTTATTAGCGAACTTTGCTACAACAAGTTAGCAACGAACGAGCAATTAGCAGACGAGAGACCACTATGAATGCCTCCACCAAACATTTTAACAGTTGAAGTATTTGTTATCGTGGTCAAGTCCTTAAGTGGTTGGCCATAATTGGTGATTCGCTGAGATGGCAGTCATTTGAGTTTTCTTAATAAGCAGCTCACGGCGTATCCACGAGGAATGGATCAATCAGCCTCTGGGATCAACCAGGATGAAAGCGATTAATGATTTCGCTGGAGTTTAGACAGGGGGGAAATGTACATTGAGGGACATATACACAGAGGCAATGCTCACTGAGGCGTAGTGTACACAGAGGGGCAATGCGTAGTGTACACACACACAGAGGAAGTATACACACACACACACACACACACACACACACACACACACACGCACACACACAGGCCCGTCCACAAACTACGAGACCACACCAAAACAATAAAGCCACGAGCCAGACACCAACTGACCCACCGTAGGGGAAATTGGTCTAAACACAGGAAAGGGAATTACCCTGCTGAAGGCTGGGGGAGGGGTAAGGGGGTGGTAATACTTCCCCTAAGTGGGGGTATTACTTCCCTAAGCGAAGGCAAATCTGGTTATCAAGTCATGGAGAAACAACAGGGAGAAAGTGGGACCCAATGGAGAGAGAGGGAGAGAGATAGTGGAGAGGGACAAAGTGAGGGAGAAAGAGAGATAGTAGGAGGGACAAAGTGAGGGAGATAGTTGAGAGACAAAGTGAGGAAGAGAGAGAGAGTGGAGAGACAAAGAGAGAGAGAGAGGAATGACAGAGTGAGAGAGAGAGATAGTGGAGAGAGAGGGAGATACCAACACAGAGCTACAAACCAAGGAACAATTCCCCCTGCTTTTCTCACGAATTACATAATTATGAGAAGGACATCTTGAAAATCACGGAAGAAAATTGCATTTTATACAAGACAAGCTTTAGTTAATTCTCCACAGACCAACGGTTGAATTTGTAAATTAAATCCAACAATTTATATATGTGTTTAGTCTCTGTGTAAACTAATATATTACTTCTTGTCACCTATTTACATGCATTTTCATAATTTTTTTAATGAAAGGGATACAGGCACATTCTCTTACTATGTAAATTATTAAGACATACGGCTAGACAAGAATAGGTATATAGCACTATGATAAGGTATGAATACGGGATATTAGCTGGGATATGAGGACGGGATAGGTGGGATAGGATGGGATAGAGGCAGGGATATGAGGACGGGACTGGAGCTGGGATATAAGAATAAGTTTTGACACCTGGAACACCATATAATTATATATATATATATATATATATATATATATATATATATATATATATATATATATATATATATATATATATATATATATATATATATATATGTGAAGGACTTACCCAGAAAGCAGCAGAAGAGGAGACACAATAGATGGCCTCGGCGCCAGGGGGCGATGGCTGAGCTTAACCTCATGTTGTGGCGGCGTTGGTTCCTGTGGTGGCGTTGATGGCTGTGGCGGCGTTGATGGCTGTGGCGGCGTTGGTGGCTGTGGCGGCGTTGGTTCCTGTGGCGGCGTTGGTTCCTGTGGTGGCGTTGGTGGCTGTGGCGGCGTTGGTGGCTGTGGCGGCGTTGGTTCCTGTGGCGGCGTTGGTGGCTGTGGCGGCGTTGGTGGCTGTGGCGGCGTTGATGGCTGTGGTGGCGTTGGTTCCTGTGGCGGCGTTGGTTCCTGTGGCGGCGTTGGTGGCTGTGGTGGCGTTGATAGCTTCCTGCAAGAGTTCCCAGCGACCTTAAGAGCTGATGACACCCTGTGAAGCCAGGGATGGCACTCTATGTTGATCTCCTGGTACTTGGGATGCTCTGCTGTGTTGATCTCCCTCTGGTGCACGGGATAATCCCTGGTGTTGATTCCAAGATCTCGTTTTAGATGCTTCTCTGAGTACGAGACTCCCTCTGGTGCGCAGGATGCTTCCCAGAGTTAATGACTCCCTCTGGTGCCTGGGATAAACTGTCAAGTCCTTTCTTACCTTATGTAGCAATATATCAAAGGACTTCTTCTCCAATTGCCTCGTCGCCTCGGGCACTTGTTTGCCTCTGGTGTGACGAAGTTTGTAGATTTCTTGAGGCTTTTGACGACTAAATTTCAAAAATGTATTTCATTTCAATATTTGAAGCCTCTTGGGTCTCTTGTACACTATAATGTATATCTCACCATTGTGTACTCTGCCGAGGAAACACGAACTATTGTCTGTATATCTTTAAGACAGAATGTATGTCTGGGTGTGTGTGTCTGTGTGTATGTTTGTCTGTGTGTCCAGGGTTTGAGGATAGCCTCACCAAATTTTGCAGGGTGACTAGTGGGTGGTGGGGGATTGTCATAGGAAGGTTTGGATTAGGGTCAGATGTTGTGTGAGTGCGTGTGTGTGTATTTTTGAAAGATTTAAATTTCAATTTTGCTAAATATCTGACTCCATCTTCACTAGGATTTATACAACATATTACTTTCTACATGGTTAAGAGGGTTACAATAGTTTTACACTTATACACACACACACACACTCACACACACACACACACACACACACACACACACACACACACACACACACACACACACACACACACACACACACATTGAGCCTCGCGGTCAAGTGGGCAGCGTTCTGAGTTCGTAATTCTAAATGCCCGAGTTCGATTCCCGACCGAAGGAGAAAGAAATTGGTAGTTTCTTTCACCTAATTCACCTGTTCACGTAGCAGTAAATAGGTTCCCGAAAGTTATCTGCTATTATCCTCGGGATGTGTGAGTACTCACCTATTAGAACTCACCTCTTTGTGTCTGCAGGATCGAGCAGTGGCTCTTGGACCCCGCCTTTCTAGTCTTCGGTTGTTTCAAGCAATGACTCCAGTCCTACTTCCCTATCATACCTAGTTTTAAAGCTATGAATAGTGTTTGCTTCCACAATGTGCTCCTTAAGTTCATTTCCCACTACTCTCACGCTAAGAGAAAACTTTCTAACATCTCTGTGACTCATCTGAGTTTCCAGCTTCCACCCATGTCCCATGGGAGCCGGTCGGCCGAGCGGACAGCAAGCTGGACTTGTGATCCTGTGGTCCTGGGTTCGATCCCGAGCGCCGGCGAGAAACAATGGGCAGAGTTTCTTTCACCCTATGTCCTTGTTGCCTAGCAGTAAAATAGGTACCTGGGTGTTAGTCAGCTGTCACGGGCTGCTTCCTGGGGGTGGAGGCCTGGTCGAGGACCGGGCCGCGAGGACACTAAAGCCCCGAAATCATCTCAAGATAACCTCAAGATAACCGCCCCTTGTTCTGTTGGTGTTCAGTGTGAACATTTCGTCTATTTACACTGTCATTCCCCCTGAGTGTTTTGTTTGCTATCATATATCCCCGTTGTGCGATAAACACCATCAATACATTAGATATAACAAACACAATCACTGCGAGGGGTGTCGACGAAATACATGCAGACTTTGTTATGCAAGCCCCTTGGGAATCTCCGCCAGCAGACTTTAAGATTATGGTTCTTGAAGGGAAAAAGAACCAGACTAATCCTCATCTGCTACGTAACATTGCACAGATGTATATAGAAGCAAACCTGGCAGCTGACAGCTTCACATACTTCACAGATGGATCAGTAGACCAGCAGGGACAAGAAACCGGAGCTGCAGTTAAAGCAGGAAACTCTATAAATAGTTGGAGACTCTCAAATGGGTGTTCGACTTTACAAACAGAGATGCTAGCCATTCAAAAGGCTTTGGAACATGTTCTTGTTGAACACCGACAACATGTTATCATACATACAGATTCGAGAACTGCCATTGAAACCTTGCAACAAGTACACCTATGTGATAACATCCCTTTAATCACAAATATCATATCTCTAATGCAAACACTCAAACGTCAAGGCCGTCGGGTGCTTATCAACTGGGTGCCAAGTCATGTGGGAATAATAGGAAATGACATTGCAGACGAAGCTGCAAAACTTGCAACTAAGAGAAGAAATGTAGACATTTACATACCACAGAGTCTATCACAGATTAAGAAATGCAAAAGATGTACAGTGACCACAACACTCAAATGAATGAGTGTTGATGTTTCTGAATGACGTTCTTACTTTTTCTAGCGTAGAGTACGCTGCTGTCGTTATCCAATTTATATGTGCCTCAGGAGTTAGATTTGGTATTACGTCCACTCCCAGGTCTCTTTCTCGAATCGTCACAGGAAGGCAGTTTCCCTTCATTGTGTACTGACCCTTTGGTTTCCTGTCACCTAGTCCCATTTCCTTAACTACATTTACTCGTGTTGAACTCCAGTAACCATTTCTCTGACCATCTCTGCAGCTTGGTAAAGTCCTCTTGGCGTATCCTACAATCTTCATCTGTCACAACTCTTCTCATTAATTTCGCGTTATCCGCGAACTTCGACATATAGGACTCAACTCCTGTAGACATGTCGTTCACGTATATTTGAAATATAAATGGTCCCAGCACCGATCCTTGAGGTACTCCACTCGTTACTGTTTGCCAGTCCGACTTCTCGCCCCCTGACTGTTACTCTCTGGCTTCTGCCTGTTAAGTAATTCTTTACCCAAGTTAGGGCTTTTTCACTTACTCCCGCCTGCTTCTCATATGTGAATAGCAGTCTCCTATGTGGTACTGTGCCAAAGGCAGAAACAGTGTGTGTGTGTGTGTGTGTGTGTGTGTGTTAGAAATATATGTAGTGGATAGGATATGAAAAAACAGGTTGGGAGTCGGTACATTAGACAACCGACGGTTAGAAAGGCGGGATCCAAGAGCTGATAGCTACATCATGCTACCACAAATGGTAACTATACATACTTGAATCAGATCCAAACCTTTTATGACACTCCCTCAAAAACCCACCAGTCATCCTGCTAGGGTTATTAAGTCAAGCCTCAATATTTTTTTTTTTTTTTTTTTTTGAGATATATACAAGAGTTGTTACATTCTTGTACAGCCACTAATACGCGTAGCGTTTCGGGCAAGTCCTTAATCCTATGGTCCCTGGAATACGATTCCCTGCCGCGAAGAATCGTTTTTTCATCCAAGTACACATTTTACTGTTGCGTTAAACAGAGGCTACAGTTAAGGAATTGCGCCCAGTAAATCCTCCCCGGCCAGGATACGAACCCATGACATAGCGCTCGCGGAACGCCAGGCGAGTGTCTTACCACTACACCACGGAGACTGCAATATTATACAGACAGACATTCTATGTTATTGATGTAGATGAGTGGAAATACAATCTATGCACTACAGCACTCTGTGCCACCTTCATACTCACAGTTATCATCAGGAGAATGTGATAAGCCAGAATGATTCTATCATTCTCCAAGTCACTGGAGAAGGTGGGCTTGCGTTGCTCGGATGATGGACTCTCTCTACACTATCTTCACTACTTCCTATCTATATCACTGTAACCATCTTCACTACTCACTAACTTGTTCACTCTTATCTTCACTGTAATCTCCATCACTGTGACCATCTTCATTCACACTACCGTCGCGTCCACACCCCCTTCCCTCCCTATCCCAGGCACCTATCTACCACAACCCCTCTACACACCTTTCCCCTCTCACCACAAATCTTCCCCTATCTCTCCCTCTTCCCCCTTCTTCCACCTCTCCCACCAAACCTCCCTACCTTCCCTCCTCTTCCTCCAAACCTCTCCATTGGTCCTCGCCCCATCACCCAAAACTTCTCTACCTTCCCTCCCTCCTCCACTCCCCTTTTCTCTCACCCACATCACCACAAGCTCTGCCTCCAGCATCACTATCAACCAACGAGTGAAGGCCTTCGGTAAAGCATCTAAGCACCATCAAAGTAACAAACTTTGAACCTAAGTTAGCAAGAGTGGTAACTTGTTAGGCGGGGTCTACAGACCTAGACTCGTAGGGGTGTATGAGAGACAGAGAGAGAGAGAGGGAGAGAGAGCGAGAGACAGAGAGAGACAGAGACTGAGAGAGCGAGAGAGCCAGAGAGACAGAGAGAGAGAGACAGACAGAGAGACAGACAAACAGAGAGAAAGAAAGAGAGAGAGAGAGAGAGAGAGACACACAGAGACACAGAGACACAGAGAGACAGAGAGAGACAGAGAGACAGAGACAGAGAGAGCGAGAGAGCCAGAGAGACAGAGAGAGAGAGACAGACAGACAGAGAGACAGAGAGACAGAGAGAGAGACACACACACAGAGACACAGAGACACAGAGAGACACAGAGAGACAGAGAGACCGAGAGAGACAGAGAAACAGAGATATCACACCATAACACCTATCACTCCAGAGTCAAGCTCCCACAATATTCTACACGGATATCTTTCCATTTTTAATGTTAAAACTCATCAAGGTACAAAAGCGTTGTAAAAGATTTAATGTCTATGCCACGAGCTGGTCGGCCTCCGCTATGTTCCACATTAATAATAATTACAAAGATATTAATTTTAATAATAATTTTGCAAACTTTACATCAAGGATACGAAGCAAGAGAAAGAGGAGAAGCAAACATTGATAAAAGAGAAGACATTCATAAACGAAAAGGAGTAAAAACTGCTGATGAAGCAGAAGAAGACATCATTGGAGAAGAAAAAGCTGTCAGAAAATAACTTTCAGGTCAGAAATGAAAAATATTACAAATATTAAAATAAAATAAATAGCAATTAAAAACTAAAAAGAGAGAAAACCTCCGTGAAAAAAAAGTATATGTGAAGCAGAACGCCAACAATGACTATAATGAGAAGCAGTAATTGAAATCAATAGTAATTAACTTACTCAAAAAAATAACAAATATATTTCTAGGCGATAGTGTGTAAGAACGTTGATACAAGAGGCTGTTGGTGGAGGCATGCCTCGTAGGCAATAGGGGAGGGAGTGAGAGACGGGTGAGAGAGAGAGGGGGTGAGAGAGAGAGAGAGGGAGAAGAGAGAGAGAGAGAAGAGAGAGAGAGAGAGAGAAAGAGGGAGAAAAGAGAGAGAGAGAGAAAGAGGGAGAAAAGAGAGAGAGAGAGAAAGAGGGAGAAAAGAGAGAGAAAGAGAAAGAGGGAGAAGAGAGAGAGGAGTTACGAAGACAGACGAAGGGAAAAGACTCTGTCTGTCCAGGACTAAATCTGACAGAGATTGATGTGGATCAGCTTGGAACAGAAACAATGAGACGGGAAAGGGAGGGGGGCAGAGATGGGCGACAATAGACCAGGAAGGGGAGGATGGGAAGGGGGGGCTGAGAGGGGAAGGGAGTAGGAAGAGGAGGAGTCAGAGGGGAAGGAGGTCAATAAGAACTGGTAGACTTCAATTAAGGATGAACGAGGGGAGTGTAAAGGTTAATGATCGTTAAGAGTGATTAGCATGACAAGCAACGTGACAATGTAAATAGTACACTCTTCAGGATTAATTAATGGGTTTAGAGTGAGTTGAAGGTCACCATTAACAAATTAATGGGTTTAGAGTGAGTTGAAAACAAAAAAAAACAAATTATGAGGTTATAATTAATTAAAGAAAATGTTGGTAAAATAATGGGCTTATTACCCCATATAATAAGTTATTATTAAATTAAATTTAATGAAAATATTGGTGTTAAAGAGTGTTGAAAAACTATTTTGTATTGTGATTTGAAAGCAAAAATTAACAAATCAATTGGAAAAAAATAGTTTTCTGAAGACTAAGGGTTCTAAACTCATTGTAGCAACAAGAGACTCAAAAGCCCCAAACATCATTTTACAGCATCTTAGTGTGGAAATACAGAGACGCCCTCGACCTCGTGGGCTCCTTCCTGGCCTCTCACGACCTCTAGCAAGTCTGCAACCTCCGATGTATTGTGTATCTTTATCTTTTGATAATTATTTCTGTATCTTCATTTGTACCCTAAACCACTGAGTACATTAGAGTAGTTACCAAATACTAAGAGGAGAGAGGGAGAGAGTGAGAGCAAGAGAGAAATATAAACATGGAGAGAGAGATGGAGAGAGAGAGATTAACATGGAGAGAGAGAGGGAGAGAGAGAGAAAAGAGAGAGAGAGAGAGAGAGATTAACATGGAGAGAGAGAGGGAGAGAGAGAAAAGAGAGAGAGAGAGAGACTGACTTAAAGATACCAAATAAGAGGGAGGGAGGGAGTGAATTATCAGGGGGAAAGCGCCAAGCCATTACGACTATATAGCACTGGGAAGGGGTCAGGATAAGGATTTGGGATGGGACGGGGGGAAAGGAATGGTGCCCCAACCACTTGTGGACGGTCGGGGATTGAACGCCGACCTGCATGGAATATTACTTAAGAGAGGAAACGTGAGTGACAAGTATAACAACAAATAACCTGCTACATACCTCGCGATATATTCTGCAACATACCCCTGCAATACACCCTGCCAACATACCCCGCAATACACCCTGCCAACATACCCTACAATACACCCTGCCAACATACCCTACAATACACCCTGCCAACATACCCTACAATACACCCTGCCAACATACCCTACAATACACCCTGCCAACATACCCTACAATACACCCTGCCAACATACCCTACAATACACCCTGCCAACATACCCTACAATACACCCTGCCAACATACCCTACAATACACCCTGCCAACATACCCTACAATACACCCTGCCAACATACCCTACAATACACCCTGCCAACATACCCTACAATACACCCTGCCAACATACCCTACAATACACCCTGCCAACATACCCTACAATACATCCTGCCAACATACCCTTGCAATACACCCTGCCAACATACCCTACAATACACCCTGCCAACATACCCTACAATACACCCTGCCAACATACCCTACAATACACCCTGCCAACATACCCTACAATACACCCTGCCAACATACCCTACAATACACCCTGCCAACATACCCTTGCAATACACCCTGCCAACATACCCCCGCAATACACCCTGCCAACATACCCCCTACAATACACCCTGCCAACATACCCCTGTAATACATCCTGCCAACATACCCTTGCAATACACCCTGCCAACATACCCCCGCAATACACCCTGCCAACATACCCTACAATACACCCTGCCAACATACCCCCTACAATACACCCTGCCAACATACCCTGCAATACACCCTGCCAACATACCCTACAATACACCCTGCCAACATACCCCCTACAATACACCCTGCCAACATACCCCTGTAATACATCCTGCCAACATACCCTTGCAATACACCCTGCCAACATACCCTACAATACACCCTGCCAACATACCCTACAATACACCCTGCCAACATACCCCTGTAATACATCCTGCCAACATACCCTTGCAATACACCCTGCCAACATACCCTACAATACACCCTGCCAACATACCCTACAATACACCCTGCCAACATACCCTACAATACACCCTGCCAACATACCCTACAATACACCCTGCCAACATACCCTACAATACACCCTGCCAACATACCCTACAATACACCCTGCCAACATACCCTACAATACACCCTGCCAACATACCCCTGTAATACATCCTGCCAACATACCCTTGCAATACACCCTGCCAACATACCCCTGTAATACATCCTGCCAACATACACCCCGCAATACACCCTGCCAACATACATCCTGCCAACATACACCCTGCCAACATACATCCTGCCAACATACCCCTGCAGTACACCCTGCCAACATACACCCTGCCAACATACCCCCGCAATACACCCTGCCAACATACACCCTGCCAACATACACCCTGCCAACATACACCCTGCCAACATACACCCTGCCAACATACCCCTGCAGTACACCCTGCCAACATACACCCTGCCATACACCCTGCCATACACCCTGCCAACATACACCCTGCCATACACCCTGCCAACATACACCCTGCCATACACCCTGCCAACACTGGCAGTACCAATAAACTTAACCAAAATATCAATCCACTAGCCACCACTATTACCACATGTGATTTAAACTCGATACAACTCGTGGACTTGCCATTGAACTTGTAAGTTACACTCGGGCACTCCAGAGACACACACCTAAGTTTGTGGCCGACACCCTCTCTCGGGGGGTACCAAAGTTGGGCACTGTATCTCTCTGGTTTACACAGAGGAAACTGTGCTGCTCTGTGGCTCTCTGTGTCTCAGTGGGCGGGATAGTTTACTTATCAGAGAGGGATTGCTCTTTATTCCTCGCTTGTTAGACGTTTATTTCCGGCACGTTAACTGTGTCTCTTTATGTGTTTATCTTGAGGTGGTTATCTTGAGGTGGTTATCTTGATGGTTATCTTGATGGTTATCTTGAGGTGGTTATCTTGAGGTGGTTATCTTGAGGTGGTTATCTTGAGGTGGTTATCTTGAGGTGGTTATCTTGATGGTTATCTTGAGGTGGTTATCTTGAGGTGGTTATCTTGAGGTGGTTATCTTGAGGTGGTTATCTTGAGGTGGTTATCTTGAGTGGCTATCTTGTGAAGGTTATCTTGAGACAATTTCGGGGCTTTAGCGTCCCCGCGGCCCGGTCCTCGACCAGGGCCTCCTTTTTGTTACATATCCCCAGGAAGCAGCCCGTAGCAGCTGTCTAACTCCCAGGTACCTATTTACTGCTAGGTAACAGGGGCATCAGGGTGAAAGAAACGTTTTGCCCATTTGTCTCCGCCTCCACCGGGGATCGAACCCGGAACCTCCGGACTACGAATCCGAAGCGCTGTCCACCCAGCTGTCAGGCGCCCTTTGTCTGTATTGATTTACTATCTGTGCTTGCAGGATCGAGCGTTGGCTCCTGGACCCCGCCTTTCTAACCTAGGTTGTCTAATGTACTGACCTCCTGACCAATTTCTCTATATTATCTACTACATATATGTTTCACACTCACATATACCCAGGATGCAGCCTGTAGCAGCTGTCTGACCCTCGGGTACCTATTTACTGCTAGATGAACAGATGCATCAGGTGAAAGAGCTTCCGCCCATTTGTTTGTCTTGGCGGGGAATCGAACCCGGGCCCTTAGCACTACGACCCCCCCGAACGCTATCCACTAGGCTTTGTGGCTGTGTGTGTACTCACCTATATGTGCCTGCAGGATTGAGCGTTGGCTCTTGGACCCCACCTTTCTAGCCTTCGGTTGTTAAAAGCAATGACTCCAGTCCTACTTCTCTATCATACCTAGTTTTAAAGCTATGAATAGTGTTTGCTTCCACAATGTGCAAGTGCATTCCATTTTCCCACTACTCTCACGCTAAGAGAAAACTTTTTAACATCTCTATAACTCATCTGAGTTTCCGGCTTCCATCCATGTCCCCCTTGTTCTGCTGGTATTCCGTGTGTGTGTGTGTGTGTGTGTGTGTGTGTGTGTGTGTGTGTGTGTGTGTGTGTGTGTGTGTGTGTGTGTGTTCGCCTATATTTACAAGACAGGCGCCATGTCTAGCGTCCACAATGGGATAGGAAGCCAGAGACTTGAGAAAGATCCCCAATTTCCTCAGGTAAAATATTTAAGAAACCTTTTTTAAGGTGATCACAGAGTTATATTTTCCACACCTTAGGCAGATACTCAAGTATTTACCTATTTCTGCCTGCAGGATCGAGCTTTAGCTCTTGGACCCCAGCCTTTCTAATCATCCGTTAGAAACTGACTCCCGACCTATTTCTAAGTCGCAGGTACCTATAGTCTGTAAGGTGAAGACAGGCATGAGGTGAAAGAAACTCAGCCCAGTTGTTTCTGTCTCAGATGGGAATCGAACTCAAATCCTTTGATTACGAATCACAGACGCTGACCACTCGGCCGCGAGACCCTACTTCCTGATTCACAAGTATATCCTGTTTCCAAATTTCCAAACTTGAAGATACAATCTTCAGTTTGAAAATCATTATACATATTGACGAAATTATGTAAATATGTACATAACTCATATATAAATATGTACATTAGGACTCAAGTGATATATGACTCTTGGGTCTAAAGAAAATTACCTTTTTGTTTTCCTCTCGATTTAAAGAATGACTCTTGTTTTGTTCTATTTAAATTATTTGTCAGAAATATTAAATCTGTTGTCAAATATATTGTTTGATTGCTGAAACTATTTTTTAAAGTTTTGAGTTTCAAAATTATTAAAACTATTGTTCAACGCTTGGGTTGATGGAGGAATATTTACAATAGTTTCCTAAATCATGATTATTCTTTAATTTGTTAATTAACAAATAATTGGATAACGTCAGCTCTTGAACTTTGACCTACAAGTTAGTAGCTCCCAGCAAGCACTTAGCGTCACAACGACGTTATTTATGACATTATATATATATATATATATATATATATATATATATATATATATATATATATATATATATATATATATATATATATATATATATATATATAATTGTGATTTTAATGAAACGTCATGAGAAGGTATCGACGTTTTTAATGAATCGTCATATAAACGTTTCTACGTTTTCAAAACCTGACTTCGTTGTGTGATTGGTTTCTTTTACACACCTGGTCGTTTTCCTTTGTTAACGAGGTAGTTTTGTCCTGAGATTTCAGTTGACTGTAATTGCATAGTTAGGTTAAGGTGAATAATTAGAGTAATTAAGGGATTGCCTGTTCCATTCTACTGAGATATAATGGTATGACACCTGTCTTCTGATAGATGGTTGGAACCACATAAGTGTCAGTGGAACCTATTTAGGTCGGTAGCGTTGAGCTCTAGTTCATGGGCTCCGGGTTTACAAACGTCAGTTGTCTAATGCAGCGATTCGAGACCTATCCTCTGTCAGTTATAATATGTTACACACACACACACACACACACACACACACACACAGTGTCAGAGTAGTTAACAGATGGAATGCATTAGGCAGTGATGTGGTGGAGGCTGACTCCATACACAGTTTCAAGTGTAGATATGATAGAACCCAATAGGCTCAGGAACCTGTACACCAGTTGATTGACGGTTGAGAGGCGGGCCGAAAGAGCAAAGTTCAATCCCCGCAAAACACAACTAGGTGAGTACACACACCAAGAGTCAATGCTCGATCCTGCAGACACAAATAGGTGAGTACACACACACACACACACACACACACACACACACACACACACACACACACACACACAATAGGGTATGTATTGAAGCAAAGGAACTGAACAAAAGGGCATGGAGGGACTTCCGAAATAACAGAACACCAGAAAGCAGAGAAATACTAGAGAATCGGAAACGAGTATGTTAGTGTGAGAAGAGCAGCTGAGAAAAATTATGAAAATGATATAGCACATAAAGCCAAGACCGAACCAAAGCTACTACACAGTCACATCAGGAGAAAAACGACAGTAAAGCAACAGGTGATGAAACTTATAACGGGTGAGGACAGGTACACAGAGAATGACAGAGAGGTGTGTGAAGAACTCAACAAGAGGTTCCAGGAGGTCTTCACAGGAGAACGCGGTGAGCACAACTAGGTGAGTACGCACACACACATCTCATGATATAAGGATGAGGGCATTTGTAGTGGGAGATTATAGGTGAGGTAATCCCCCCATAGCGGAGGTAAGGAGGTAATCCCCCATAGCGGAGGTAATCCCCCCATAGCGGAGGTAGTCCCCCATAGCGGAGGTAATCCCCCCATAGCGGAGGTAATCCCCCCATAGCGGAGGTAATCCCCCCATAGCGGAGGTAGTCCCCCATAGGGGAGGTAATCCCCCATAGCGGAGGTAATCCCCCCATAGGGGAGGTAATCCCCCATAGCGGAGGTAATCCCCCCATAGCGGAGGTAGTCCCCCATAGCGGAGGTAATCCCCCCATAGCGGAGGTAATCCCCCCATAGCGGAGGTAATCCCCCCATAGCGGAGGTAGTCCCCCATAGAGGAGGTAATCCCCCATAGCGGAGGTAATCCCCCCATAGCGGAGGTAGTCCCCCATAGGGGAGGTAATCCCCCATAGCGGAGGTAATCCCCCATAGCGGAGGTAGTCCCCCATAGGGGAGGTAATCCCCCATAGCGGAGGTAATCCCCCCATAGCGGAGGTAGTCCCCATAGGGGAGGTAATCACCCATAGGGGACGTAATCCCCCATAAGGGAGGTAATCCACCCATAGGGGAGGTAATTCCCCCTAAAGGGAGGTAATCCCCCCATAGAGAAGGTAATCCCCCCATAGGTGAGGTAATCCCCCATAGGGGAGGTAATCCCCATAGGTGAGGTAATCCCCCATAAGGGAGGTAATCCCCCATAGGGAAGGTAATCCCCCATAGGGAAGGTAATCCCCCCATAGGTGAGGTAATCCCCCATAGGTGAGGTAATCCCCCATAGGTGAGGTAATCCCCCATAGGTGAGGTAATCCCCCATAGGTGAGGTAATCCCCCATATGTGAGGTAATCCCCCATAGGTGAGGTAATCCCATATATTATACGTGATTCACCGCTTCTAACTCACACATATTAATATATTCACAAATTCACTTATTCTAATCGTTCTTGAAAATAGACAATAGGCCTATTGATATTTATGTCCAAGGCCTATAAATTTCTCGGTCTTAATATGCACATTTGTTATCTAAGATTCACGTTTTAACTACCCAAGGAGACAATAATTTTGTTCAACTAAAAAAGTTGCCAAATTTGATGCAATTGAATGTTCAACATTGTTCATCATCCTCAAATGTTCATTTGAAGAACATTTCAGGAATTGTTTTAGGGCCCAGATTACATAAAAAGTCTTTTAAAATCACGTGGATATGTTTTGAAGGGACAAAAATCCATAATTGATAGAGATTTGCGTATGATTCAGGCCGAGCGTAAGCGTAGCTTGGGGGAGAGATCTCTTGCCTGGAGCTCCGACACTGACACAACCTCCCCCACCCACTGTCAGCGGTACACTGACTGCTACTGTTGTATGCTGGCTACTCCCTTACTTCCTCCCTCACTCCTGCTCTCACTCCCTCTCCTACTCTCACCTGTTCCAGTTGATGATTGTGGATTGACACCAGTTGATGACTGTATATTGACACCAGTTGATGACTGAGTATAACTCCAGCTGATATGACTGATGACTATCTGAATTATCTCTCTCATCTGAAATATCTCTCTCATCTGTGTCATATCTCATGAATCATATCTCTTATTTGAGTTCAATGTTCAGTGTTCCATCAGTGTAAAGAACACAGAGAGAACAACAAAGAACACCCCACTCATCCTGCTAAACCATAACATGAACAGTGTTTCCCAACATAGTGCTTTCAGCATTTAAAATGTCTTTTAAGTCCCTTTGGACTATCGTTCATAAAAAACTTTAATGTAAGCTTCTTCGTGGTGTCATAAAGTTATAAAGTTCCTTTCTGTTCCTCTCTCTTCTTGGGAATAATGTTAAGTTCCTTATTCATTTTTCTCGGGGGTGTTAATAGGGTTAAACTTAATGGTCCAGCTGCCCTGTTATCAGTGAGTGACCTCACACTAACTGCTTATTGTCTAACTTATAGTTTAATTTTTGTTTAGGCAACAGCATATCTGGGGTGATGCTGATCTTATTAGACAACAGCATATCTGGGATGATGCTGATCTTATTAGACAACAGCATATCTGGGATGATGCTGATCTTATTAGACAACAGCATATTAGGGATGATGCTGATCTTATTAGACAACAGCATATCTGGGGTGATGCTGATCTTATTAGACAACAGCATATTAGGAATGATGCTGATCTTATTAGACAACAGCATATTAGGGATGATGCTGATCTTATTAGACAACAGCATATTAGGGATGATGCTGATCTTATTAGACAACAGCATATCTGGGGTGATGCTGATCTTATTAGACAACAGCATATCTGGGGTGATGCTGATCTTATTAGACAACAGCATATCTGGGATGATGCTGATCTTCTAAGACAACAGCATATCTGGGGTGATGCTGATCTTATTAGACAACAGCATATCTGGGGTGATGCTGATCTTATTAGAAAACAGCATATCTGGGATGATGCTGATCTTATTAGACAACAGCATATCTGGGGTGATGCTGATCTTATTAGACAACAGCATATCTGGGGTGATGCTGATCTTATTAGACAACAGCATATCTGGGGTGATGCTGATCTTATTAGACAACAGCATATTAGGGATGATGCTGATCTTATTAGACAACAGCATATCTGGGATGATGCTGATCTACTAAACTAACAGCATATCAGGGATGCTGATCTTATTAGACAACAGCATATCTGGGATGATGCTGATCTTATTAGACAACAGTATATCAGGGATGATGTTCAGTGTCCAGTGTTTACTGAGCCTTACCCAGCTGAAGCACCAGGTCGGGTCACCATGGTGGTGGACGGAAGACAAACACGATGGAACGCTTTGGCAAGTCTGACCCAATCACCCAGCCACTCTCTACTGCCTGGTAGCTCCTCTCTGTTATTCTTTAAGGGGGTGCTCGGGCAACTAGATTTCCCCCTTCCTCACTGTCTCTCAGAGTTTCACACTGTTTTATGCTGTCTTATACTGTCTCATACTGTTTCACATTGGTTTTATACTATCTCATACTGTTTCACATTGCATTCATACTGTTTTGTACTGTCTCATACTGTTTCACATTGGTTTCATACTGTCTTATACTGTCTCATACTGTTTCACATTGGTTTTATACTGTTTTATACTGTCTCATACTGTTTCACATTGGTTTCATACTGTCTAATACTGTCTCACACTGTTTCACATTGGTTTTATACTGTTTTATACTGTCTCATACTGTTTCACATTGGTTTTATACTGTTTTATACTGTCTCATACTGTTTCACATTGGTTTCATACTGTTTTATACTGTCTCGTACTGTTTCACATTGTTTCATACTGTTTTATACTGTCTCATACTGTTTCACATTAGTTTCATACTGTTTTATACTGTGTCGTACTGTTTCACATTGGTTTCATACTGTCTTATACTGTTTTATACTGTCTCATACTGTTTCACATTGGTTTCATACTATCTAATACTGTCTCACACTGTTTCAAATTGGTTTCATACTGTCTTATACTGTCTCATACTGTCTCACGCCGTCTCACACTGTCTCAGTGTTTTATAGTGTCTCACGCTCTCTCACACTGTTTCACACTGTCTTCTCCAATAATATAGATGCTGCTTAAATATTCCAGTTATTCGCCAAGTCACTGAATTAAATAGTATAATTGATTATATGTATGCTTAGGTTTATATGTGTAATTATAGGGCGTGTAAGTGTATATGTTGTGAGCCAATGGATGGGTGGGTGTGTACTCACCTACTTTTGCCTGCAGGATCGAGCTCTAGCTCCCGGACCCGGCTTTTCTAGCCGTTGGTTGCCTAATGCTATGACTCCTGGCCTGTTTCTCTATCATACTTGCTTTTAAAGTTATGAATAGAGTTAGCCTCTATAATCTGCTCCTTTAAGTCATTCGATTTACTAACTACCCCTTACGCTAAAGGTAAACGTTCTAACAACTTTATAACACATCTGAGTCTCAAGCTTCCATCCGTGCTCCTTGTTCTATTGTTATTCATTGTAAACATTTCCTCTGCTTCAATCTTGTCAATCCCTCTTAGTATTTTATACGTCTGTATCATGTCCCCCCTTCTCCCTCCTCCTTTCTAACGTCGTCAGGTTTAGTTTCTTCAGTCTGTGTCTGTACCGCATCTCTTCGCAACTCTGGGACGAGTCTCGTTGCAAATTTCTGCACCTTTTCGAACTCCCTTATGTGTTTTTAAGATGGGCTCCAGGATGGGGCGGCATACTCTAAGACTGGCCTCACATAGGCGGAATACAGTGACTTAAAGCTTCCTTATTCAAGTTTCTGAAGGATGTTCTGACTTTTGGCAGAGAAGAGTATGCGGCTGACGTTATTCTGTTTATATGAGTCTCTGAAGTTAGGTTTGGTGTTAAGTCCACTCACATGTCCTTTTCTCTAGACGTTATTGGGAGGTAGTTTCCCTTCATTATGTATTGCCCTTTCGATCTCTTGACTACTGTTCCCATTTCTATCACCTTACACTTGCTGGTGTTGAACTCTAGCAGCCATTTCTCGGACCAGCTCTGCAACCTGTTCATCCTGGACAATCTTACAATCCTCATCTGTCTCAACCCTTCTCATTAATTTTGCATCATCTACAACCATCGACATCAGAGACTCCTGCAGTCAAGTCATTTACATACATGAGGAATAGTATGGGACCCAGCACTGATCCTTGAGGCACCCCGCGTGTTACTCTACGCCTGTCCGACTCCTCGCCCCTCACTGTCACTCTCTGACACCTGTCTGTCAGGTAATTTCTTACCTCATGATAGTCCGTTGCTACCTACTCCCTCCTGCCTCTCAAGTTTGTATAGTGGCCTCCTGTGTGGTGCTGTATCAAAGGCTTTTTTAGCAGTCCAGAAATATGCAATCTGCCCAGCCTTCTCTGTCTTGCCTTATTTTCGTTACCTTATTATAAAACTCCAAGAGGTTTGTCAGGCAGGATTTCTCTTCTCTAAATTAAGCCGTGTTGTTGATTGCTTATAAACATAGTTATTTCTAGGTGTGCAACTAGTCTTAACCTTATAAGTCTCTCAAGTACTTTGCAATGAATGCTTGTGACACTAGTCTGTAGTTCAGTGCCTCTTCTCTATCTCCTTATCCCAGATCCTTATCCTGATCCAGTGTCATATAGTTGTAACGGCTTGGTGCTTTCTCTGGATAGTTCCCTTCTCTATCTCCTTTCTTGTAGATAGGACGCATCTACAGCATCTCTTTCTTGTGTGTGTGTGTGGGGGGGGGGTGTTTGTGTGTGGGGGTGTGTGTGTGTGTGTGTGTGTGGGTGTGTGTGTGGGTGTGTGGGTGTATTTTACGAAAGACAAATTTAAGGAGTTTGTAATTGTTCGTACGAAAGAGAGGCATAGAAAAGATCAGACAAATTCGAGAGAGCGAGATGAAGAGAGAGAGAGAGAGACAGAGAGAGATGAGAGAGAGAGAGAGAGAGAGAGAGAGAGAGAGAGAGAGAGAGAGAGAGAGAGAGAGACGTAGTGTGTGGTGGTCGCCAGCTACAATAAGAAGTCATCAGGGGCGGTTGAGAGGAAGCAGCCAGGAAACAGTATATCAACACTACTGTCACTCTCTGTCATCCACCAGACGGTGTTGATCCTCACATTTAGGCACTTCAACCCTCGAGTTGATTCCCTCTTTGTGACGGCCGCTCCTGTCACTGGGGCCCTGTCTCTTGGTGAATGTGACGGCTGCTCCTGTCACTGGGTCCTGTCTCTTGGTGAATGTGACGGCTGCTCCTGTCACCGGGGTCCTGTCTCTTGGTGAATGTGACGGCTGCTCCTGTCACTGGGGCCCTGTCTCTTGGTCCCCAGTGTCACTACACCTTCTTTAGCCAATCTGGTGACGGCCAAGACTTCTTGCTTAGACATCTTTGTGACGGGAGTTTGTGACAATGTGAAATGGAACCTCTTGCTTGGAATGTGCTTCCCTGTATGTCCCTAAGTGGTCATGTGGGGCATCATGACCTCTGGATGACCTACACTGTTGTACGGTGACCCTCACCTGGATTATAACCTGGGGCCAGATTCACGAAACAGTTACCCAAGCACTTACTAACCTGTACATCTTTTCTCAATCTTTGGCGGCTTTGTTTACAATTATTAAACAGCTAATGAGCTCCGAAGCACCAGGAGGCTGTTTATAACAATAACAACAGTTGATTGGAAAGTTTTCATGCTTGTAAACTGTTTAATAAATGTAACCAAAGCCGTCAAAGATTGAGGAAAGATGTACACGTTCGTAAGTACTTGCGTAACTGCTTCGTGAAACTGACCCCAGGAAACTGACCGTTCTTCTCAGCACTACGATTACAATTTTTCCAATATATTCCGTGTGTTCTGGGTGGGTTCCATCTCCATGGAAGGGATCAGCACATTAGTTAAAATAAGTTGCATGTCAGGAATTGGATCATTTTCAATGGAACGTGAATATTAAGTGAAATTAGGTTTTAAAATTAACTGGTGAATCCAAGTATCACTAAATTTGTACAGTACATGTAAGAAAGTTGCTCTAACCTTGTAAGGTATTTGTATTTATGTAGATAAAAGATAGGAGAAAGTTCACAGGAGAAAAACAGCAATAGAGATAAGAAGGTAAACAGTTTGCAAGAGAGACAACAACAGAGAGAAACAGAAATGGAAACAGTTTGCCAGAGAAAAACAGCAAATAAATATAGACAAGCAGAAAGACTGATAGGGATGACCTTTCACTCTCCTAAACAACTTGAAGACGAATCACAACTCCTTAAGTTATAGGACTGAAGATCACTTAACTTATAGGCCTTAAGATCACTTACGTTATAACTTTTTGAGTCCTTCATATAAATTGTCCCATATTTTGCATCTGATAAAATACATAAATTACCTGAGAGCCATTTATTAGGGGTCCCAGTGAGTCTTGGTGTTATTTAGAGGGGCAGAGTGTGTAGAAATCTATAATATTGGGAAGGAATGGTGTGTGTGGTGGGTATATGGTGAGTGTGGTGGTAGTGGTGAATGTGTAGTGGGTATGGTGAGTGTGGTGGTACAACCCGTTCTCGCACTTTCTTTCAGTCAATATTGACTTATTAAATACGTGCATATGTGACTAGTATGTCACATATGCACGTATTTAATAAGTCAATATTGACTGAAAGAAAGTGCGAGAACGGGTTGGGTGGTAGTGGTGAATGTGTAGTGGGTATAATGAGTGTTTGATGACTCTGGTGTTTGGTGTGTGTATGTTTGGTTATGATGTGTGGTTATGGTGCTATTCATGCCCTCTCAATGATAATTTGACCTGGGATCATGTTTATCTAAGAGCTAAATGCCTCTCATATCCTTGTTTATCAAAAATTAATAAATTTATGTATGTTACAATTAACAATAAAATTATAATGAGGGTTTTTTTTGTCGCCATTCTCTTCCATAACTCAGGACAACAGATGTTTTTTGTTTACATAGGGAATTAAATTAAACAAAATAGAAGAATAGAAGCTCACGGATTCTGGAACTTATATTTCCTGGAACCTTTGTTAATGATACAGCATGTTGCCCTCGGCTACATGCTGGGTTCTGGAATACAGTACTTGCAGAGAACCTTCAGGTGTTCTAGTAGAACACACAATGTGTTCCAGGGGAAACACA